TTCTTCATCAACATCTCAGGGGGCATACCACTTCTAGAGAGGACAAAATTGTGTGCCACAGACAACTTATCCGAATTCTGGGTTCTGGAATGTCTGTTTGTCTAGCTAGTTCTTCCCTGGTGCTGATACCAGGAAATCAATTCCTCTCAAAGGCTTGAACAAGTTGGTGATCCAGTGATGGATGTCTCCTTTTGTCTGGCTTCTTTTGGTAAGCATTGTAAAGGAAAACTCGAGAAGAAAAAAGGGCTTTTAGGCGATCTTTCACATTTAACCTCAAAACAGAGATTTCTAAATATCATTCTGACAACCTTCACTCCCTCTTATTTCCCCGAGGAATTCATCAACAACTCTTGGCCCTTGGATAAAACCCCTGAGGTGACAGAAGAGCAGGACACTGCACTGCTTAGCAACAGCAGAAACAAAGTCCAAAGGCTTTCTTGCTAAGAACCTGCCTTTCCCAGCAAACAGTGGGATGATGTTTATATCTTTGACACTAGGATGCCCCAACCATACTATTATTTTTTCCTGTTCTGTGCAGTTGTTTGCAGAAAATTTGGGCACAACATGCAGAGTTGTTTATCCTCTCAAGGAGATCTATTACTGAACTGTATTTGGACTGCTGACTTCTTACCATGAGTCCTAAGATGAGGCTTATCCCATCCTTGGGTTTGATAGTCTCCTAAGGAGCATTCAGATCTCAGCCATCTCTATCTAAGCTGTGGTTTTCAAACCAAATCTAAGTGGGAAAAGAAGGTGTGAGTCATGTCACTCAGTCTATATCACTCCAAACATTGATCCAATTGAACAACGCTGGTTTGGCATCTGCTGGTGGAGTATTATCCATAAGAGAAAGGCAACGTATTATTCTAGGAATGTTATTATCTCAAATATTAGCAAGAAGTTCAGGACAGCACTCGATCCACACTCAAATTAGCATGTCTTCTATGATCATTCTCATAGTATCCAAAGTAAATTTCCCTCATTCAAAACACTGCTATGTCTCCTCAAAGAAATCCCTCTCTCTGTCTTTCTGTCTCTCTCTCTCTCTGACAGCCAAATCTCTCTGACAGGTGTTTCCACATGAATCACTTTCATTACCAGAGTTTGAGTAAATACTGTCTTCCCTATCCAGAACAGATACATAGAGAGATAAGAAAAATTTCTTCTTTTCAGCATCCTCCAAGACTGAGGTCATTCTAGCCAATTGTTAACCTGAGACTACATAATGCATACAAAACCCTGAACTCATTTATCTCTAAAAAGACATTTTTACTTATCTTCATCAGTTTAAATACTGCTTCACCTGGTATAATTATATACATCTATCTCTTTAATGATTAGGAGAAATTCATCACAACAGCAGTTGTTTCATTTTTACATCAACAATTTTATTCAAAATAATTCAATACAGAACTTTACTTCCAACACTCTTTTGTGTATGAATCACATTTCAGACATTAACTAAAGATTAGCCTATGAATTGGCAATTTCCATGAATTCTTACTCCACAGTTTTCTCTAAATTATATGTTACTGTTTTGCTGTATTTAATCCAATAACTAAAGGCACCATATCATTATCATACTGATCCAATTCTGTACTATATTCTGTAAATCTCAAAATTTGCTTTCATTATCTCCTATGCAGAAAGCCTGAGCCAGTACATCATCCTTCCCCCATCAGTGAATACACACAACCAATATTTCCACTGTTAGTAAAAGTTATAAACAGAATTCTGTATTTGTGTTATTTTTCCATTATACAACAGGAAAAATTTCTTGGCAAAATACCTGATATAAGAGAATTGCTCAAAAATGTTTAGCCTAGCTTTTCTTGTTACTTTGACTCTGAGAGAGAATGAAATAGAAATTAATGCCAACCGTTATTCTAGGTTCTAGAATGTCAATTTCTTTGGTCAGTTGTTCCCTGGTAGCTATTCCAGGATAAGCATTCTGTTCAAACCATGATTGGAGGATATCCTTTTCACTGTGGTTCAAAACAAGCCTCCTTTGTTGGGCTCTCTTTGTAGTGAGCCTGATGAAAACAAAAAAGGGATAGGGAGCATGAAGGATTGTGGTGGGAGCACATAGTTTTTGTTTATTCCAGGTTGAAAGTCTGTACATTCAATGATGACTATATATTTTTACTTTAGGGACACAGATTAAGCCATGCTACTATGGACACAAATAGGTATAAATATATATTTTAGAAAGGATGATAATCAATGATCGAAGTATACAAAGCAAGAGTTTACAGAACATCCATGACATTACATGCAAAGAAAATAGGAAGGAACAGAACCTAGGAAAATTCCTGAAACTAAATGAAACAATATCATGAAAAAATTAAAAGTTTGAATAAAATCATAGAAGTTGGTACTGTGGAATAAATGACATATTTTGATAAAATTAAATATATAATGTTAGGAATTCCTTGTGTTTTGTCCAACTAAAATGTTAACTTTAACACTTCAGGTAAACAACTCATGTGTGGTACCCCTGGTTGCCATCTTAAACTTGAAATTACAGTAAGACTTTTCAAAAAACACCGTCCTTGGATCCAGTTTATCACTGGGTCTCCTCCAAAAACATATCCCTCCAATCATGGTGATAATTTAAACTTTCATAAACTCTGGAAAATAAATTAGGCTTTTGTTATTATAAAAGAAAACAGTGAAGAGGTTGATGGGAACTTATCACTTGAAATGCTGATCAAATCCATATTGGGAGAGTCACCTAGCTTCCACAGAGACTGCTGGCCAATTTAGCAAATCCCAGAGACACAGGATTTATCAAGACCTAGGGTGGCCCACCTATTTCTTAAATATCTTTCTATTTAATCATTTCATTAAATATTTAATGCCTTTACAAAGGATTTCAAAGCAATCAGATTAAGAGGAAGTGAAAGTAAAGATTACAGTAGGTAATTTTGCATCTATCATAATGCCTTTCCAAATATGACTTTGGTTCTGTGCTCTCTAGTTTATACATATATAAACATGTTGTTCTTTACTATGTTCAAGTTCTCTTGTTTCTTAATTATCTTGGCTCGGCCATTTTATTTTATGTTGGATAGGCTTTTTTTTTTGTGAGGAAGATTGGCCCTGAGCTAACATCTGTTGCCAACCTTCCTCTTTTTGCTTGAGGAAGATTATCCCTGAACTAAGGTCTGTGCCAGTCTCCCTCTATTTTGTATGTCGGATGCCACCACAGCATGGCTTGATGAGCAGTGTATAGGTCCGTGCCTGCAATCCAAAACTGCGAACCGCAGACTGCTGAAGCAGAGCACGTGAACTTAACTGCTACACCACCAGGCCAGGCCCTGGAGAGGCCTTGTAATTTGTGCAGCGTTCATGCATTCTCCACAGATTTTTTTGATCAGATCTTTTCTATTGAAAGCAGGTGTGTCATTTTTCAGTGAGAGACAGACAATGCCCCAAAGAGGTCAGGGTGTGGTTCTGAGAGGCAACTTTATCCACCATTCAAGAACTTTACAATGCTTTTTGCTAAATATTTTCAATGAGAAAGAAGTATTTGCTTATTTTGCAACTGCAATTCAAATATTTATTATAGAGTATAATGTAGAAAGAAATGAATAAACCTTTGTGCAAATGTTTGCTCCCCAATTCTTTCTTTCCATCTATCTGTCTTTGTCTAGGCGATTATAAAACTCAGTTTGACTTTCAAAAATTGCAGAATGGACATGCTGATAGGCAGACAATCTTCATGGGACTTTTCCTTGGGGTGTACCTCAAAAACTGTGTTGGTTTCTCCTATTCTTGAGGAAATGAAAGGAATATTCTGTTCATTCTGTAACTATCTCCCATCTCTTACTACAATAGTAATTGCCACTCAGTGTAGTTTCTGCCATGTCAACCACTGTTGTGATGGGCTACCAAGGACTTGAAGTGAATTAAGATATAGGATCCAGATGCAGCACTTGTAAGGAGATAAAAATACCTGTGGTATTTCCTATAGGAATTCATTTTGACCACATCTTATCTGAGACAAGTAATAACACACTTTAAGAGGTTTAATACTCTTTTCACCCAAAAACTTTGCATACAGCTACCAGCCATTTGACCTCCACCCATGCCCCAGCCAAGAGAGGTATCAAAGGTACAGTTTGGCTCCTGCCTGCCTGGAACACATGAAGGCTTTTAAGGAGAGGCCCCTCAGTGACTGGGGACTATCTGAATCCCCACAGCAGTCTCCCCTCTGTAGCTGGCCAGTTGCCTGACACTCTTCTTTTCTTCTTCAACCTTGGTTCTCCACTGGAGCTGGTTGGGGAGCAACAGGACTGCACCTGACTCCCTGGGAAACTCTTCAGGGGTACAAAGTCCTTTGTTTAGGGCCAGCCACAAATTCCTGACTCCTGACTTGCACAAAGTACAAACTGGCCAGGCCAAGGAATGAGTCCCAACTCTCCAGCAAGAAACAGCACTTGGACCCTCTTCAGAGCCTAAGATCTGACCTAGACTGCTAACGAGTAAATCCCAACTCCCCTTTCCAGGTGCTAAATCCTGCTCCAGAGGCAAAGGGGAGGCTTTTTGCACCTGAGGATTCCTCTCCACTTTAACAGATGTTCCCCTGGAGGAGACTGTCAACTGATGGGAATGGACCAGACCTGACAGAGGCCTTCATGGGCAAGGTGACAAGATGTAATCCACTGCACAGGTCTGCATCCTGAGGCTTCTCTGGGCTGGCCTGGCCGGGTCTTTCCAAACCTCTGCCAAAGAAAAAAGGAAAGAATAAAAAGTACAAATATAAATTGTAAAATGCAATATACATTACTACATATGCTCCAGGCACATCAGTTAAGAGGATATTTCCAATGACTTTATAGCAATAAATTTGAGAACAGAGATGAAATGGACATATTCTTGGAAAAGTTCAACTTGGCAAAAATGACTCAAGGAGAAATGGTTGTCCTATGATCATTTAAAATATGGAATTAGTAGTCAAAAATCTTCCCATAAAGAAAACATCAGACTCAGACGGATTGACTAGAAAATTCATTTAATGAAGGAATAAGTTTTTACACAAGATTTTAGAGAATAGTGAGAGAGGTAGCAAACCTAATTCATTCCAAGGCTGGTTTAACATGATCCAGACCCCTAAAGATAGTGCCAGTAAAGAAAATGATTAGAGGCCCACTCCTTTGTGAACATAGATGCTATGATTGTAATCAAAATATTGGAAACTACAACCCAAAAAATACGTAAGAAGGATACATCATGACGTAGTTGGGTTATTCCAAAAACATGACATTCTTTGATATAAGAAAAATCTATTTAAATCACCACAGGAACAAGTTACAAGAGAAAAAAAATTATATAATTGCAATCAATGAAAAAACATTTAAGTGCTTCAAAATCCATAGAGAGGGAAGAAATAAAGAAACTGAACAAATTAGAAATAAGTGGACTCCTTTTGCAGAAATTGATAATATGCAGTATAGTAAATGCCACATACTAAATATGAAACTGGGAAATACTGACAACGATGTCACCTCTCACTCTGCTGATTCAATGTATTACTGCAGTTTTCAGCCAACACAGTAAAAGGAAAATAGAATAAGGATTGTATAGAAATACAGGTGCCATTACTGGCAGATGAGGTAATTGTGTACATATGAAATAATGTAGCATTCAGATGCTCAACTGGGTACTCTCAGATCTTGTGACATCTGCTTTATGCACATCCACAGGAGACTTGGTCACAACACTCTGGGTTCCCAGGCAGCAGCTCTCAGGTAAGGGGGATGGTGGGGGCTGCACACCTGACCCAGCACAGGATCCTCCTGGGGCTCTTCAAAGGGCAACAGCTGGGCCTGCAGCTCCACTGAAGTTCTTGCCTTAAGTGGGGAAAACTTGGGTGGCCTCAACAAAGGGGCTGCCTTTTAGATGTATGGAGACCTGGCTGATGTTTGGATGTCTCTCACAGTAGGGCTTCAGTGAGGCTGCTGCAGGACATATGGCTACTGCGGTGGCTCCATGGTGTAGGAACATGGCAGTAGCAGCCTCATAGGCCTCTCATCCAAAGGCTGCTGCAGTGGGGTCCTTCGGATTCTTGTTGGCTATCTCCCCTCTGAGGGGCAGACAATATCTGAAACAGGTACTGTGCAAGGGCCTCTTTCTTCTGAAGCACAAATTGCTTTGGATTTGGCAACTGCTGTTTGCTGGTTGTCTTGCTATGTTTGTGTTTGTTGGTTTTGTGCTCCATCCTCTAGCCCAGCCCTAGAGGGCACTATAAGCTGTATGATCAGGGGCTAAAACACTGGTGGACACTGCTGCCCAACCAGAAGGGATCAACAGCTCATGGAGCTTTCCTCAAGACAGTGTTTATGTTCAGACTCTGGAGAGGTGTTCGCCTTGATCTGCTGTGTGGATTACTATTGAATGTTATATGGTTATTATTTCCTGTGGCCACAATCTCGATCCCAGCAGTGGACCTTTGCAGACCCCTCATCCCAAAGATGATGCATTTCAGAATGGGATTCCTCTGCAGCTCCTTGACGCATACCTTGCCCAAGAGGCATTGGCCGAGACTTGACCACCATTTGTAGAGGTGTATGCTGCAGCTGAGAACACAGGGGCTCTCCATTAGTTTGAGAAAACCCCCTCTGCTCTTGTGATGGAAGGGAAGGCACCTGCTGCCCTAAATCCCCACAACTCAGGTGCATTAGATACTGAGCCTGGAAGAGCAGATTCTCTTGATAATCCTGAAGCTGTTGAGGCTGCTGTAAAGGACATCTGCAACCATTAGCCTGCTGTCCTTGAAATAGTGAGTGATGACAATGGGCCTTCTTCTCCTGTTGCTGTTGCCTCTCTCCCTGCACAGTAGAAATATGGTGCAGAATGAAGGGCCTTGCATGCTGGCTTTCTTCTTTCTCAGGCCCATCCCTCTCAAAATACTGCACAGAAGATGTAGGAGGATGAAAAAAGAGTGCTGATTTGTAGCTGGAAAATGGATAGGCAGGACAAAGTTTACTTCTCGTATCACCTTGATACTCCAAAGTACAGCTTGGTTCCTTTACAATGCCTGGGACCATAGTGTCACCTGGGCCATCCTGTTGACTGGGAATTTCCTGTGTCTCTAGAGAAGAATAGCCAGCTCTCCCCAGTACAGCCTCCTCAGTAGAAGAGAGGTTGTGCTCAGTGGTGTAGTTGGGAGATTCTGCCTGAGTATCCTGGAGGCTTAAACATGAACGACCTTGAATAGGGAATTCATGTAGTTTCCAAATAGCAAACATTCTGTGTCTCTCTCTGGGTGGCAGTCGGGCTCTTTTATTCTGGAACCAGTTCTAAAGAGAAAAAAAGAGTAGTGTTTTATCAAATTGACTTATCTGGTTATATTCCTCAGTATATTTCCATAATGTAGGAGAGAATTTTGTAGTTAAGCCTAGTCTCAGCATTATCACTGACTTTCCTCCTGACCTTGTACTCAAAAATAAAGGCAATCTTCCCTGGGGCTACACGTGTGATTATGGAAGTCATACAGTACACAATTCCAAAACTCCAACCACCTTCAAAGTCTGCACTGGCCCTTCTGTACATTCAAACCTAAGCCTTTCAAAATCTGCCCCTAATCTGTTTGCAATCCTGTGTTTAGACAGAACCTACTCCCAGCTGTTCCCTAAATACACTGAATTTCTCCCACAACGTTAATTTACTCAAGCTGCTGCATAAGAATGAATTCATGGCTCAATGTATTCTAAATCATGTTCTTAAATTCATTGTTTTCAAACGTTATACATAAGCAAGAGTTTAAGTCATAACTTTACTGTATTTTATACGTGTCTCTAAGCATTTCATTTTAACACTTCTAGTCTCCATTGTTCATCCTCCCTAAAATGAGGATAATTATACATGCCAACCCATAATCCCCAGGACACTGGGTGAGCTGGAAATGATAAAATGCTTTTGCAGACAATCCATCCTAATAAGCCAGGGTTGCTGTAGACAGTTAGAGTCATGCAGCCTAAGCAACAGTACCTGGGGGCCTTTTGCCATCTGCTCACTCCTGGAACTGCCCTCTGGCTCCAAGTTCAGAATAGCTTTAGGCCATTAGTATCACTAAAGCTAAACGGATCTCTGATCCCCTCATGATGATTGTTTAAAACAAAATTCTGACTGTGCACAGTGACCCTGACACCTCCAAACACACTTTCTCATTTTTTCCTCACAACTCCACAACATAGATAATTTTACAGAAAGCTGAGTTACAAGAGTCAGTTTGTCAGAGATTATAGGGCCAGTTCGAATGTCGATTTCACGAAGACCCAACCAGAAAACAAGTGCTCACTTTCCCTAGTCTAGCAGCCTGCCCTGATCCTCCCCCAACTGTGTTTGCTTCCTGATCACATCATGGACACTCTCTCTAAGCACATGCAGCTCAATTCAGTGCAAGGCAATTTGAATGGCCATATCTGTGAACTTCATGTTATAAAACTGTCCCTGTGACATGTTTGGAGGATTAAAAAAAAAAAGACTAAAAAACAGTTTGAACTTGAGAAACCCAGTGGTCATGAATCCAGAAATGTAAAGAAAATACAGTATAAAAATGTTTTAAGTATTTGACCAGTCTCTATTGTTTCCTGGCTGTTACCTTTTTCAGAGTTTCTACTTAGTTATATGAAATCATTAACTTGTATTTTTCTTGAAATGTTTCCAACTCATGAAACTCTTATAATATGATGACATAATTACTTACATAGTATTTGCCTATACTTTTATCCTCCAAAGCTACTCTTGCATTCCCTTTCTTATTTCCACCAAGATAATTTCCTCCTATTGTCAAACAACCAATAAATTCAAAGATCTATGGACAATTACAGGACAAAGAGAAATAAGAAAATCTTCCTAATTGTGTGTATGGCACAAAAAGTACAGCTCTAATAAAATTTCATGGAGCTATTATCAATCATTTCTAAAAACAATCATATGAGAGATTCCCTGGACAAAATTTGGTTCACACAACAAATGGTTATGAAGCACCTGCTATAGCTGTGATGTATTGTGCCAAGTGATGGGACACTATTGAGCCAAGTCCTTTCTCTTGCACTTCAGACTTGGATATCCAACTATTTACTTACTATTTCCACTTGGAGGTTTAATTGGCTTACTGAACTTAATATGTCCAAAGTAAAGCTCCTAATGCCTCTAGCATAAAACCACTCTATTCCAGGCCTCCCTATCTTAAAGGCAACTCTAATCTTCCACTTGCTTAGGCCAAAATTTTGGATCCCTCTTTATTGGATATACAGTGAGAAGATGCAAAGACCTCTCAGCAAACTATTGGCTCTACCTTCAAAATAATAGTTCTCTAGGTGCCAGCCCAGTGGTGCAGCAGTTAAATCCACACATTCTGCTTTGTTGGCCTGGGATCCACTGGTTCAGATCCTGGGTGCAGACCTATGCACTGCTTGTCAAGCCATGCTGTGGCAGGCGTCCCACATATAAAGTAGAGGAAGATGGGCACCGATGTTAGCTCAGGGTCAATCTTCCTCAGCAAAAAGAGGAGGATTGGTGGCAGATGTTAGCTCAAGGCTAATCTTCCTCAAAAGTAATAATAATAATAATAGTTCTTTATACTTCTACAGTCAGCAACCTAATCCAAACCATCATTGTCCTTATCCTAGATAATTACAGCAGAATCTTAACTGGTCTCTGCTTCCAAACTTGATCCACAATAGTCTATTTTCCATAAAACACATACATAACATATTCATGCCCACATTGACATAAATAAGAAAAGTGACAAGATGTCAACACTTTGTTCTGTGTGATGAAACACTATGAAACTTTTTCAGAATTCTTTACATTTTATATTTGTCAGTAAAAGATATATGAATGCAAAGACTTGAATATTTCATTTACATCAATTATATATACTTGACAACGCAGTTGTTTGGCCAGTTCTTTTCGAGTGGTAAAATCAGGGTAAGGAGTCTCTTCAAATGTCTGATTAAGAATGTACAATTCATCCGTAGTAAATTTATGTCGTTGTTTTCCCTTTCCTCCTCTCCATTTTGTTCCTTTAACTTCCTTATGACCATCTTCTTCGACTGGAGATCCTGAAAAATATATAAATGGAAAGGGAAATGCATCGAGGAATACTGATAGTATCTAGAAAAAGAAAAGACTGTTCACTGACTAACCATTCATAAAAGATTTTTAAAAAGTGGAACCCCACCTCACACCTATTTACAATAATAATATTACTAATAGGTTAAAGGCCTATCTTTAAAATTATGAGGAGAAAATGAGATTTATGACCTCTAAGGTAGGGAATCAACTCAACAGCACTAGCAACAAGGGTAGGGAAGGATTTCTTTAGTTTAATAAGAAGTCACACATTATAAAAGAAAAGGCTGATGAAAAAATGCTCAGCCTCATTAGTAATTGAAGAAATACAAATAAACCAGCTCACACCCATCTGATAACCAACTTAAATGTATGGGACTAGAGTAGGGGAAGAATGATAAAGATTAAAGAAAATAGGAAATCAGAAGCAGGGTTGGTATAAGTATAAATTCTTAGAACCACCTTGGAAGTAATTTTATTATATACAATCAAATTGAAAATGCACATATCCTTCAACACAGCAATCAAAGGACACTTGAAAACAGTAGGAAGGTTTTGTAGTGAGGTTACATGAATGGTAAAAACAAGAACAAAACAAAAAAACAAGGTTTAACTATACACTGTCTATGAGAGACTCATTTTGGACCTAAGGACACATATAGGCCAAAGAGTGAAAAGATGGAAGAAGACATCCCATGCAAATAGTAACCAAAAGAAAGCACAGGTGGCTATACTAATATCAGGCAAAATATACTTCAAGTCACAACTGTTATGAGACTAAGACATTATATAATGACAAAAGGATCAATTTACCAAAGAGATACAATAATTTTAAGTATGACAGACCAAACCTCAGACCTCTCAAATATATGAAGCCAACATTAACAAAATTGAAGGTAGAAATAGTGAACAACATAATAATAGTAGGAACATCAATGCCCCACTTTCTATGATGGATAAAACAACCAAACAGAAGATCAATAAGGAAATAGAGGACTTGAACAAAAGTATAGACTAATTAGACATACCAGACATATACAGAACACCCCACCTAAATGCAGAATATACATTCTTCTCAAGTGCACATGAAACATTTTCTAGAAGAGACCATACATTAGGCCACAAAAGCAGTCTTAAAAAATTCAATATTGAAATCACACAAAGTATATTTCCAATTACAGTGGAATGAAATTAGAAATTAATAGCCAAAAGGAAGCTGAAAATCTACCCATCTGTAGAAATCAATCAACATACCCTAGAACAATCAATGGGTCAAACAAGTCACCATGGAAATTAGAAAATACCTTATGACAAGTGAAAATAAAAAACATAACACCAAAACTTATGGGATGCAGTGAAAGCAGTGCTAAGAGAGAATTTTTTAGCTGTAAGTGAGTGCGTTAAAAAATATATCAAATCAACAACCTAACCTTAGACCTCAAGGGATTAGAAAAAGAACAAACTAAATCCAAATAGAAGACAGAAGGATATAATAAAGATTAAAGATTTTTAAAAATGGAGAATAAAGGGGCCGGCCCCATGTCCCAAGTGGTTAAGTTTGAGTGCTCTGCTTTGGCAGCCCAGGGTTTTGCCAGTTCAGATCCCGGGGGTGGACATGGCACCACTTGTCAGGCCATGCTGAGGTGGCATCCCACATGCCACAACTAGAAGGACCCACAACTAAAAATACACAACTATGTACTGGGGGGCTTTGGGGAGAAAAAGGAAAAATAAAATTTTTTTAAAAAGTAGAGAATAGAAAAAAACTGAAAAGATCAACAAAACTAGCAGTTGGTTTTTCTAAAGGATCAACAAAATAGATAGATCCTTGTCTACATTAAGTAAGAAAGATTCAAATAAAAATCAGAAATGGGAGCATCACACCTAATACCATGGAAATAAAAATGAGTACAAGAGAATACTACGAACAATTGTGAAACCAAGAATGAAAAAGTTAAAAAATCTCCCCTAGAGCAGAAAACTTTGAGATAAGCTTTGCTAACTCCAGCTTTGCATAATCAACTATTGTTTAAAACTAACCAGATTTTGATGTCCCTCCTTAGTAAAGGAAGGAGCTGTCTTTCCCAGGAACTCAAGACCCAGATGTCAAGATTCAGCTTCATAAGGCCAAATGTAGGCTGAAGATGAAAACTAAACAGAAAAGTCCAGTCAAGGGAAAAGAAATTCAGTCTTCAAGGCCAAATGCAGGCTGATGAGAAGGTACCAACCAGCAATGCATTATGCTCCCGCTACCCCTACTTAACACTCCAGCACATGCTCTCCCTTTCCTACCTAAAACCCCAGATAAAAACCTCTCCCTTTTTCCCTTTAAGGAGGTGAATCTGAGTTCTAACTCCCATGTCCTTGTCTGACTGCCTTTCAATAGTAAACCTCTTTCCTTGCCACAAGCCTGACATTTCGCTTATTGTGCCTACAATGCAACAGGTAAATGAACCTGCATTTGTGTTTCATAACAACTGTATACCAACATATTTGATAACCTAGAAGAAATGGAAAAATTTCTGAAAACAATCTACCAAGACTAAATCATGCAGAAAAAGAAAATCTGAACAGACTAATAACAAGAAGACTGACTCAGTAATCAAAAACCTCCCAGTAAAGAAAAGTGTAGGACAAGATGGCTTCACTGGAGAATTCTACCAAACATTTTGAGAAAAATTAATGCCAATCCTTCTCAAATACTTCCAAAACATTGAAGAGAAGAGAATACTTCCAAACTCATTTTATGAGTTTTACCCTCCATTATCCTGATAACAAAGGTAGACAAAAATATCATAAGAAAACTACAGAACAATATCTCTGATAAATATTGATACAAAAATCCTTAACAAAATACTAGCAAACCAAATTCAACAGCACATTAAAGTGTTTATACATCATGACCAAGTGGGATTTATACCTGAAATGCAAGGATGGTTTAACATACAAAAATTTCAATGTAACATACCATATTAACAAAAAGCACAAAAACCATATTATCATCTTAATTGATGCAGAAAAAGCACTGGACAATTTTCAACATCCATTCAGGATAAAAACACTCAACAAACTAGGAACAGAAAGAAAGTACCTCAACATAATAAAAGCCATTTTTGAAAGACCCACAGCAAATATAATACTCAGTGGTGAAAGACTGAAAGCCATTCCCAAAGCACTTGCTTGGAGGACTTCACATCCTACAGGCACTGTGATTGAGCCATCATTGCTTTGGAGTCTCTCTGTTGCAGATTTTTGCCTCGAGACAGAGATGGTGATGGGAGCAGTGGACTCCTGGGTCCACCATACATAGTTCAGGAGCCTCTGACAAATGAGTCACATATTATTCATTGAGCACAACACCAAAAGATATAAGACACAGTTGGAGCAGACCACAGAGCCTTCTCTCCTCAGTTAAGGTTCTTCTAGAAAAAAAATCAAAGCCAGAACACTGATATTTTGTGATATCTACCTTCTCAAAGAACAAGAGTGTCAAGTCTCTTTCATACCCCAAGCTTGGAAAGTTCCAAGTTATTTTGAATTGCACAGAATATCAAATCATTTGGGAACCAGGGGGGAAAAAAATCCCAGGACCACTTCAGCAATTCTTCCAGGATAGCTCTTTAGGTTTGGGAAGGTTTTTTTTTAACTTTTTACCCTGTTAACTTTTAAACATGCATGAAAAGTAAGAGAGAAGAGAGTAATGAACCTGATGATCCTATCACTGACTCAAATAAATGGCACTACATAGCCAGTCTTATTTCATCCACTCACCTCCTTGACACCCCTTCCCATTACTCTGAAGTGAATCCCAGACATACTGTTTCACCCAAAACTACTTCAATATATATCTCTAAAATATAAGAAATATTTTTTATAATGAGTTCCATATGTTGGATATTTATTTAGGTTTGTTCTCATTTCTCTTTTTTATTCCAGTTTTATTGAGATACAATTGACAAGATATCCCTTTTAATGTAATCAAAACTTCATTTTCAAATACCTGAGCCTCTCAGAAAGTCCTAGCACCCAATTCCACTGTTCGGCAACCACAGACAATTACATCAGTGACATGAGCTGTCCTCAGCCTATAAACCTGCACTTTTAAAAAATGAAAGCTCAATCCCTCGGAAAGCACTAGTACATCAGGTAGGCTGCCTCCCACCAAAGAAACTCACTGTTGGAAGACATGTTGAATCTCTAGTCCAGGGTCTTTTGGAGTGACAAAGTGATGAGCTCTGGAGCAGCAATAATATACCCCTGAGGTGCCCACCCTAGACACACCTTAGACACAGCCCTAGACATGGCTCCACCCTAGGTGGGGCTCCACCCCAGATACACCCCTGGATCACCTTACCTAATCCACCTCTTCAAAACCTGGCTTCCATTCATTGAGCACCAACTGAATCCAATTTTCTTATTTATCTTTGTAATACCCTGACAAAGTAGGTACTATTTTACCCCCAATTAGTCTTAGAGGACACCAGGGACAGAGAGATTTAGACCATAGAGGAAGCCTCTGACCCAGACAGTCTGATCTCTGACCTCATGCTTGTCACTATCATCCTATTATGTTATAGACTGCAGGATGTGTGAGTATGGAAGGCTTGTCAGGCTCACAGAGGATCCACATTGCTTGATATATCATTCGACTAAGGAATACTGAGATTGGGAGCAGAAGAGACCAGAGACTAATATTGAATAAGGATTACAGACATTAGATCATTTGCTAATTCATCTTATCCTTGAAACAGTCCTTGAGATAACCAAACCCTCCATTTTACAGATGAGGAAACTGCAGGCCATTGGAGTTTTCTTCACAACTCTAGGACTTTTTACCTTCCCAAATGTGTGGGAGAAGGTTTTTGTATACTCCAGGTCTGAAAAACATAACACATGCTTGACAGTTCTTTCATATTAATTCATCTGAATTCAGAGGGATCCACATGTGCCCCTTTCTATTTAAAAAAATTGCTACAAATTTATGTGACAA